ATAGGAATAGCCCATAGGCTCCTTCGTTGCGATAGAAGAACTGCAAATTCAATGCAAGAATTGCTTCAACCATTTTATGTATGGAAAGAGTGTAGCAAATCAGCATTTAAAATCCTGCTAGGGATTACTTCGTAGACAAGGTTACAATGGTGGATATCATTTTTTTTCAAGGATCTTATTGATATCAAAGTTTGGATTAACAAATCGTGTACACATTGAATGCCTAAGATATCATTTTTTATTGATTTGATCCGAGCAGAACACTATATGATAAGTTTAACCCAAAAGAATTTTGTAATACATTACGGAAGTTTGTTTGTTTTGTTTGTTTTGGTTTTTACGTCAAATCGACACAGTATAGGTCATATCGCGACGTTCCAGCTTTACTGGTGGAGAAAGACCTCAGGTGCCCTTCCGTGCATTATTTCAGGCACGTTCGGGTACCTGAGTAGAACCACCGACGTTACCGACGTTCCGTAAGCTAGCCTCACATGAAAAAATCCAAAGTCCCTGTCGGGATTCGAACCCACAGATGTTTGGGGCAAGTGGTTTGAAGTCAACGACCTCAACCACTCGGCCACGGACGCCCCATTACGGAAGACCTGATATAATGTATTTTGTACTTGGAACCTATTGTGGGTAAAAATTACTATGTATTTACATGAATCTTATTCTTCCAGATTTATCACTTCCAAGATATGGAACATATACTGGCATTAGGCAACCTGATAAACCATTGGTATGTTTAATACCTGAAAGATTGATAACCTGTTCCAAAAGTTTAAAAAGACTTGTGAAATAATAAAATAATCATAATTTTACAGTAACTAAGGTAGAAGGTAATATATTGTCATTTACAGTGTATGTATTAATATAATTGAGAGCATACAATTACTGACGTTATATATACGCTTGATATAATAGATAAGAAACTAGCTGAAGTAAAATTACAATATTGTTTGCCAATTTACATGTTTAAACAAGAATATGTTTTAGATAAAGGAAATAAACATGTAGAGTTTGCTATTTATGATAAATTTTCTAGGAACCACTCTTTGTTTTGAAATTTAAGGTAAACAATTTCCAATAGCTCATATAAGGCAAAGGAAAGAAAAAAATATACTAAAAATATTATTGAAGAAATTTATAATATAGTAAAGCATAAAAACAAAAAAAAAAGAAGAGCTTCCACTATTTCAAATTCAATTGAATTGACTAAGGGTGACATATTGAAAGGTGCTATGATTAGGGAAAGGTCACAGTGTATTGAGTGTTGAGTTCAGCAAACAAATTACTTATTATATCTAGAAAAATCACATTGTTCAGCAAAAACTATTCCATTTCTCGAACTTTTAATCGGAACTTTGATGTATGAGCAAGAGCATAGACTTACCCAAACATGTTGTATTCATGAAAATTTGTAAAAGGATGTAATATTGACTGACGAATCGGCTATTGATTGTGAATATAAAACTGCGATATTGCTATACGGATGATTAAGCATTGAAGTTTGAATGTCTCCTATCCTCTACAATAAAAAAAGGAAAAGAATAGTAATTTTGTCATAAAAAACATTAATTTGGCATATTATGTTAATTTTAACAAAGCAAAAACTAAAAACAATAGCATGCATCCTTAATGAAAACAAACCGATGCAATTGAAAAAAAAGATGAACAATTACTTTATCAAATGTAGTCTATTAGATAGCCTCAGGTAGTAAAGCAAAAGACTGAAAAGAGTCTTAGATATCTTTGTGTCAAACGTTCAAGCCGGATTAATTTAGCATAGGTATATTTTATAAAATTACACACTTTGCAGATGATACATCGCTTTTGTTAGATGGATCAGAAAAGTCACTCAATACTGCATTAAAGTTATTTTACAGGTTTAATTACAGAGATTGAAGATAAATTTCGACGAAACAAAAGTTATTTGGATATGTTCTGTTAAATATAGTAGTAGCACAATTAATACACGATGGAAACTTACATGATAGGCAAAAAAGGTCATGAAAACTGATCGTTTACTCCAGGAAAAAGTAATTGTTAAAAAGTTATAATGTTTACCTGTACCTTTATTTACTCAATGTTTTACAATGTTACAGTCTCCAAGTTCTTTATTCTAAGAAAATAACAACGATTTATTTTATGGTTTCATATGGCAAGGAAAGGCAAACATTAAACAATTGGTAGCTGTTAAAACATTCAAAAAAGGCGATTAGAATATGATTGGTATCTTTAGTTATATATACAGTTTAAAAAATAAAAAGGTTTTTATATATTTATTTGTCTAAAAAAACAACAACACTTTACCTACACACAGGTTTTAAAAAAAGTCTGAAGTCAAAATGAAATATCTACAAAAGAACATATTTTAAAGAGGTGAAAATGACATATGGGTTAATGTGAGATCTTTGATTGTTTAGACTATACTTGATAAGGAAAATAATTTTCTACCTATAACAGAAAACTTGTTTTTTATTATGTATGTACGTCTTTTGTGTTTCTCCTTGTTTTTGCTTTTGTGCTCGTTTTTTTCTTATTCCTTTTACATAAAAATGACAGTATTTCCTTTATTGTAAAGCACGACACAAAGTATTTCAATAACTTGATTATTTATAGAAAAATTAGTATACTCATCATTTTATGTATACAAACAGATATGGTATAAGGGTGACAACCCTGACCTTTTACCTATTATTGGAAAATAAATGAGGTTACCAAGTTGAAGCCTCACAAAAAAGTGAAAAATAAGTAAGTCTAATACAATTGTTTCTTTGTCCAGCAAGAAAGGCAAGCAAAAGGCAAGCGTTGTACTATTACTTTCAAGTTATACATATACCGTTGTACCATATTTTGGAATGCCCATAATTCACTTCAAAATGCGATAATTACCGATAAAAAAGTATTTAATATAATCGAGACAAAAGTTCTAAATTTGAAACTATTGAGTTCCTGTATGATTATGTGAAAATTGATCAATTCAGCATGTGAGTTTAACAGTTATGTGTCTTTCAAATATTTGAATGGCATTGCAGTGACCAATAAAATATTCCTGTGCATCATTCTTATTTTTACTATCTCATTTTGGTCTCATTTTAATGTTGTCAGATGTCTGTGAACGCCCAAGCTGAAACATGCATTTGATTACACTGTTCTTGACAATAAATGTAATGTTTCATAAAAAAGACTGATTAACTTTGGATTGCAGATTTTATACTTACGTCAAAGCAATTTGTCGTGATATCTATGTCATAATACCTTTTCTACTTTACAAACTGATTGGCCGATTACTTGTGAACTTGTTACAAAATAACATAAAATATATAAAAACATATACTATTGATTTACGAATTTTGAATATAACTACGCCAGCAGTCGATGATTTCTTTAAAAGGAAACCAAAATATAGCCAAAGTACTTGCATAAATATAATGAAAATTATGTATAATAACAAGTGAATTTACTATCATAGAAAACAACAACTTAGAAAACAATTGAATTCGGTTTTCAGGTCAGATAACTTTAATGCTTTCAAGTGCAAATGTAGGAAAAATATTATATGCGTATGAATACGAACTATGTTTTCATTTGTGTCATTTTCCGCTATCGACATGTTGACAAGTTTAGCAGGTAAAAAGATTGAGAAAATTTGCATTCGATTCCATGAGAAGTTCCAAGTGTTAAGAAGAGTTGTAAGTTTTGTAATTTAACACTTAATGTTATACATAACTATTATACATACTACTTGTTTTTTTCTTGCGTTTATTGGTAACGAAGTCGTCAAGGAGGAAAATTCTATATAACTTTTTCTTTCGTTCTAATCCTTTTCCTGAATATAAAATGTTACTTGTATTGTATATGTATGTATGTTAATATATATATTTGGGAAATAAATATGTTGAAACTAACGAAATCGTCAGGAATACGATCTACATTTACCTGTTAGCAATGTTCATCGTTTCTTGTTTATTATGTTGAAAGAAAAGCTGCATTCAACATCCATGTTTAATCAATCTGGTAAGTGTTTTTTATCATTAGAGATGAATGAGATAGTTTAAAGATTCAATTCATAGCGTTATGCAGACGTGGATCTGGCTTCCAAAATTTTAATAGCCGCTTTATTATATTTTGTTAATAAAGTATTTAAGACATCAGGTCCGTTTCCAGATTTAACCAACATTAAAAATCACACTTGTGACCTCCCTTTACTTCACCAAGAAAAAACATCGTGTGTATTAATAGTTTAAAGGAAACTATGTTAACTTAGGTAAAACTATTGAAAGTTTCAAAATAATTATACAGCAAACTACTTTTTCTATTTCTTTGCAATACAACAGTGAAAACCACTTTTGTCCGCAACAACACTGAGAAACCTCGCAAGATCTCGTTATCGTTTAATTTTGAGTTCTATTTTCTTTAATTGAAAATAAGAAATAATTCCCCCAAACACTAAATAACTTTAAATTATTTAAAGAACTTGTTTATGTTTAAACTAAAGAATTTAATAAATTTCATAGATCATAGAAACAATCAAAATTTATAACTACAAGCTGAGTTAGTCGTGCGTTTCTTTTCGAAAAGAATTGTCAAATACTACGGTTATATAAACTCATATTGAATCAGTTAAATATTTAGAAATAGTATAACAAATAGAGAATGTACAGAAACCAAACAGTTGAAATTGTATTACACTCAGAATTTCGACTTCAAACCACTTGCCTCTCACTCCTGTGGGTTTTAATCTCGACAGGGACTTTGGATTCTTTCATGTGAGGAAGCTATCTAGCTACCTTACAGAACGTCGGTGGTTTTACTCAGATGCCCGTTCGGGCCTGAAATAATGCATGGAAAAGCACCAGAGGTCTTCCTCCACCAGTGAGGCTGGAACGTCGCCATATGACCTATACTGTGTCGGTGTGACGTTAAACCCAATCAAACAAACAAACAAAACATTCAAGATCAAATTGGTTGTAACTATATATATTATTACTATATATTAATATAAAAAGAACAATACACAGGGTTTGTAAGTAATGTTAGCGACATGATGTATTTTCATTGTATAAAATTGTCGTTTACAAATATTTTTAAATAATACAACCCAGGTATGACCATTCATAGGCAGCTTCTACAAGTTATAAAATCATAACACTTAAATGATAAACATATATCTGTTAATCATGATCCATGTAATAATTAAATATTAAAAATTAGGAACAGAAAAAGCAAAATCACACGATCGAGTTATGTTAATCTTTTACAATTTTCGGCGTTACGCCTTCATCAATACATAATGAAAATCACATGAAATTACATAATGTCATAACGTGACACTTGTTTTACATACAAAAAAGACATTATGGCGATAAGCAACACAATATATTAAAAACTGACTCTACAAAGCATATTGTGAAAAATAAGTGATTAAGTTATGAATTAAAACTGTTCCAAAATTTTATTTTATAGCAATAATCCAAATAAAAAAATCACGTAGCGTATGCATTTAAACGTATGGAAGAATTGAAACATGTTTTTTGCATACAGTTGTATAAATACATAATCCTCACCCTTGTAGTTTATAATATCCATTCGAACAGAAGAAAAAAAACAACAAACAAAAACAAAAACAACATTTAACAAATTATTGATATACGATTTATAGTGGATCACAACATACGGACTTTTTAGGGACCGCGCAAGAAAAACACCAACAATGGTCGCTTAATGAAACAGTCTCTTAAGATAAGGCATAAACAGTCAAAATTTATGCATGACAACTTTGCTTTGCGGTGGGGTAGTTTTTCAACATTATTTGCATAACTGTGTAATAATTATAACGCTCCAATAATGTCAATAGATGCTTAAATAAAAATCTAACTTTCTGATATTTATTGACGAAACAATTTTGATCCATTGCGTACACGTTTGACAGTTTTTCATTTTTTTTTAGCTACTCCTTTACATTTCCTTGTCCTTTAGACGAAAGATCTAATAAAAGTACAAACTTTCTGTTATACATATTTCATTTGAAATATAACTTTCCTTTCCAAACCAGCTGATTGTCTCTTGCAAATGATTGTTTTCATATGAGGGAACTATTTCACGTGGAATTTAACCCTTTTATTGCACTGTTTACATGATTTGTCAACATGACCTGTTAACCAAACAGGCCAGATGTGAATGAGAAACGTTATTTTTGAATGATTTGTGTACCAATTTAGAGTATATATAATATCTGTAAAACTTTATCAGCGTTTTGCAGTGAGGGCTATGATCAATCATAAGACACAATATTAGTTCAGTTAATAGTAATTTCCTAGTAAGATATTGTTTCCTGTCCTTGTATCTGCATTATAAAAAGGAATGATCTAACAATCATTACAGTGACATCGTATTTCATGCTGTATTTTCACTATTAACAATTCCATGAATGTTCTAGCAAATATTGACGTAGTTTTTTTACAATGCATTTATGTGTTTGTAATGTACCACTTAGCTTTAAAAAGAAGATGTCATTTTTTGTGTTACTACGAAACTTTCACACCAAAGTTCGGGTTTATTTTAGTTCATACCGATACCACTGTCTTTGTCAAACATAGCTACAATTTTGTTTCGATTGTCAAAGTTTACGTCGTATATAGTAACAAATGATGAAGGATCTAATGAGAAATGTGATTCAAGGCCTGGAAAATATATTTCTTCAGTAAGTATTGGATCTCTGTAATCAAATGTTTGCTTGATCGGAACAAATGTATCTGTATGCGTGTCCTCAGCTCCCCAATTGGTTCTAGACGTTGGATAAAACTCGTTTGCTTCTTCATTACTTTCAAGATTGTCACTTGCTACCGGGCCTTAAAAACAAATTTAAAATATACATGTATATTAGTAATAAAGTAAGCAGACATGTGTCTTAATAAATATCATTGAATCTGTCAAATGTGATCGCAAGCTCTCCGCTAATTTTAAACATTTTTTCAATCGGTGTGTGTGTGAACGCGCACGTGTGCGTGTGTGCGTGCGTGTGTGTGTGTGTGTTAAATGAAACAAGTATCGACAACATTACCTGCAAGTAAAGCATGATTTTCCTTTTCCTTAAGTGCTATTTTTTCCAAAATTTCGCGACGGTCTTTCATGTCTTTGTTTATATCTGTAAACATAGAACACTTTTGTTTCAAGAGTGAGTTTTGGACAGTAAGAACATGGTGTACTTTCTTCAGCTTCTCAGTTTCACCCATTAATGTTACATTATCTGAAGGATTAACAAACTTGCACATATCATCATCAAACTCATCCATAGTTTCAGACTGATTTATACTTTCTCTGTCATCAAGGATGCTTGATAATCTTTTAAATATTCCCCTACAGGATGCTGGTAAAGTTTTATCACCTAACTGTGTACTTGCCAACTGCCACTTCCGAGGTGGAACTGGTGGTGCATTAATTTCATGTAGATCATATTCTAGCTTGCTTTGATTTGAATTATTCACAGCATCAAAAGAAGAAGGCGCAGGTGGAATGTCATAGGCAGTTTCCGATTTTCTGTTGTAGTGGTATGCTTCTGTCGGAAAAGACATGTAAACGCAGTTAAAATCCTTATATTAATCAGGAATTAAGATTATACAAACTTTTAAGGTTGTTAAGAAAGGTATGCTTTATCTTTAAAACTATCTATTCAAAATTTATTTGATGTGTCAGTACCTACACTTGTTTCGAGGACAAATTTTCTCCCAGATATAAAAGTAATTACCAGAGCAGTCCAAAAGTATAAACAAATTCTGAAATATTATTGCCAAAATATAAAATTTTTCTCAGTATACTTGATGCAAGAAAGACACTCAAACGTTAATTTTAATTGGCGACATTGTGTTTTAATTTCGTCAAAATCAGTTGCTCCGTTTGTACGAAAACGACACCGTTGTGCTTTCTTCTATTCAAATAGATTGCTCAGGAAATTGACATCGATTTGTGAGATCTAGTTGCGAAAGGTACTGAATTTTTAAAGCACTGTCATTGCAAACGGAAACTGTAAGTAATTAACTATTTTGACATCAGTTGTTACCAACCAAATAGCATTTTGTTGCTAAAATACAAGGGCTGTTTAAATATCAATGCAACTGGGTCATTTTTAGAAGTGCTTAACAAACAGTGCCAAAAATTATCTCAATCCTTCAAATATATTAACACTATGTGATATACAAAGTATACCGCTCAAGACGGTGCTAGGGGGCTTGAGGGATGTTGCATTTATTCATTATTCCACATGTACAGAAAAAAACAAACAACAACACAAATTAATAAAAAGTTAAATACAACCAAGTATAACAAATACAAAAAAAAAGAAAAAAGAAAAGAGTAAAATATAAACAAATAAAAAAAATGTGAAATTAATATGTTTTTTGAATGTTGGGTATTTGTGAAGATATGTCAGATAAACAATACCATGAGCTTGCTGTTTCTCTGGCATAAAGTCATACTCTTCATAGACGTCACTTTCTACTTGAAGAGTCTCTTGTAAATCATTCTTAACAGTGTCGTTTTCTATTTTTTCAGTTTGAACGCCTGGAAAAACAAATATGAAAAAATTAAAGAACAATGAATTAGTATTTAGATGGTAAAATATAGTTCATTGAACGAATAACGCTCCATCAAGATATTTCCGAAGAAATTTCATTTCCTACAACACGTTTATAAGTATTTATATTGTATTACATTTATTGGAGTAATATGACTTAAAATTCATTTTGTTTATATAAAATAACTCTGGTTTCAAATGACTTGTAAAACGGGGTTACATGCAATGTGTTCGTGCGATTTTGCTTCAATGAATATTTATGTCAGAAGGTCTAAAACATGGTATTCATCTTATGTATGCATTTGGCATGAAACATTGTCTAGACATTTACCAGGAAAGTTAAAATGATTCTAAATTGGCCCAACCAGGGGCCGGTCATAGATTTTCATTGTCTGTATAAAATTCTTCTTCTTGTATCAAAATTACATATTTGGCTGATAACATTGTCTAGTGCACCTCTATCAAGTTTGTTAGAATTATAGCCATTGGGTCTTACTTGATCAACGTTAGGTTTCATGGATTTTCTTTTCTGTTTATTGTTTAAACTTAAACAATGCTCTTTTCTATAATCATTATTGCAAATGCTGAAATACGAGACATGGAACGTTGTCTAATGCACCTTCTGCGAGATTTGTTTAACTTATATCCCTTGGATCTAAATTGGCTCAACCCAATCCTTGTATGTATGTAGTACAAACTTTATAGTCTTCTCCTGTACATAAAGGCCAGAGGTTAGATATTTAGCACAGAACATAGTCCAGCGGATCTCTACAATTTTTCTTCAATGTGTAGGCTTGTTGTGTAAATAAGCCCCTACATGACGTACGTTCATGTAGTATAAACTTATAAAATCATGAAGAAAGAAGCTTAGATAACCAAGCGGTTAAAATTTGCCCCACCCTGGGGTCATGGATATTCCTATGAACATAAATATTTTTTTTTATAAAAATATAAACAAAATTCTTCTCTAAAACCACAAAAGCTTAAGCTTAGATATTTGATAAGGACATTGTCTAGCAGACCACTACCATGTTATTCAAATTTATGCCCTGGAGTCATAAATTGGCCTCACCCATTATATGAAATCTAATTCATTTATACACGCTACAAAGCTACTAATGACGCCTTCTGCTCGCAAACAAATTAAGACCGACAAGGACAAAATAATAAAAAAATATCATCTAGATCGCCAGATCGCTTGATTTGATATGATGGCAGCTATAAGTCAGTCAATATGACAATAGTGTTGTGCTGTTTACCGTTTTTAATTCACATTTTGAGTGGTTTTATCTATCATTACAAACATGTAAAGTTAACATATTCCATAGCCTAAACAGGTATTTAATCTCCCTATGTCAAGCGGAAGATAAAAAACTTGATATATATTTGTAGAATCCATAAATGACGCATTTGATGCATTTAAACACAGGCATTGTCTAAAGTTGCAAGGTTTTTTTTTATTTTAATGCCAACTTTAATGTAGCAATTCTTTTGATATGCAGACTATTTGTTATAAATCTAACTTTTTCGTTTAGATATATTTTAAGATGAAACAAAGAATTCATCAGGTAACATTACATATAAGGTACTTAGTTAAACATTACCAGAAAGGCAATGTGGTTGAGGTAGATCTTCACAATACAATTCCTCGTCTTCTTCAGTTTCAGATTCATTATCGTCATATATAACTGTCATTGAAAACATGTTATATTCATTAGAGTTTATAGATTCGTAAGGAATGAAGCTGATAAAGAATGTCACTGTCATTTAAAACCTAAAAGGGTATGATGTTTAATGTTGATGACTGAAGAAGTATATACCAAAATAATTGTTCGACTAAAACTTTAATAAGAATTGTTATTATCGTTTAAATGGTTGTTTCACGGAGTAAAAAATAAAGCTTTATTTGTTATTGAACATTGTAAAATTGCCTACTGATGACTTTATTCAGATTGAAAATAGTAAATATGTGTAAGAACATTAAAGAACTTTTAATTCCAAAAGTATTAAGATGTTATCAAAAATAAAAGATAAGAATTTCATTTTAAATACTTTTTTGAGGGGGGGGGGGGGGGGCTTTGGCCTAGTGGTTGAAGTGTCTGCCTCTCAACCCATAAATCATGTGTTCGAGTTCAAATCGGGTCCTGGCCATGTTTCTTTATATGACACAAGTACTATACTATGTTGCAAGTTGGTTCCAGGAAGCGGACTCGAACGTGAATAATATTAGTTGCAGGAACTTGTTTCGCAACAGAGATTGAATAAATATGTTTAAACCAAGGCTTTTGGAAAATTGTAAATTGTAATGAATTATTTGTTTGAATAAATAAATAAATAAATATATACTTGGATAAATCAGGCATTATATCCTTCAGTTTCAATACACATTGTTATTACAAATGTCAAAACAACCAATTTAACATTTCCTTTATACCTATACAACCGCGGGATTATCTATTCCTATTATTACCCAATCATCTAACGAATGAATATCAAGTAAACGCACGATATAGATAATACCAAAGCATTAATTTTAGGATTCGAACAGCACGATAAATATTTCTTTATAGTATTCATTGACACTTATCTTGGATTTGCTGCTCCTTTTCTAACAAATTTGGATCTTCCAGCCATATGAAAAAACTCTAAATGACATTAAAACAACAGGAACAACAATAACAAATAATAAAAATATGACCACACTATCAAAAAAAATCAATCATAGTTTCAGTGCGATTGTTACTGTCCCTGCCAGCAGTGAATAAAATACAAGTTAAAAATAAAATTTCTAATTACGCATATTGCTTTCCAAAAGCACAGGCGAAAGCCGAGGTGATAGAGATTGATCTTCTGACTCAGAATACAATGCCTCATCTTCTTGATATTTTTCTTTTGAAAAATCCGCAGCTTCAGTAGCATTAAGCCTAGGTGGGTTGCTGTGAGCAGCTTTCAATTCATCTTTGTCGTAAACAACTATCAGTGAAAACATGTGATATTCATTAGAGTTTATAGAGTTGTAAGGAATGAATAATTGATAAAGAATGTCACTGTCATAAATATTCCTTAAGGACGTTTTCGGAAGTTTCCATATAGACATATCGGCAAAAAGAAAACAGTGTTTACAGTTTAATTAAATTTCTTTAAACTTGGCAAGTTGTTTTCAGAAATTTTTACTTATTTGAGGTCACTTCAAGGGCAGATAACTTATACATACTTAAATGAGTTCTTGTTTTTACTTCTGGATTATGTTTTTCTTTTTATTGTTGAGTACAATACAAAATAACATGCAATTCCTTATATCGTTTTTGTTAACGTTTCTCAATGAACACAAAGGTACTTTAAATTCTTAAAAAAATGGTCATTTTTTAAGAAAACATGCACTACCATAAAAAGACGAAATGAAAAAATTCCTATCCACCCTAAATTCATTCTTGAAATTTTGCATATCGACTTAAACGAAGGTAAGCTTCATGAAACTAAGAAATAAATCTATTGTTTCCCTTTATTGTGAATTATTTGCCCTTGAATTCAACAAAAGCAGTCATGGTTTCAGTGGAATTGTTACTGTCCCTATCAGCAGTGAATCTTATTTATACAAGTTACTATTAAAATTTCTTATTACGCTTTCTGCTTGCCGAAGGCCGACCCAGAAAATGAGATGAAGGCTGTGTCTCAGCATTAGGATCAAGATAAATTTCATCATCTTCCTCATCTTCTAGATTTTCTTTCTTTGAAAATTTGGCAGCGTTAGTTGAAGTAAGACATGGTGGAAGGCTGCGTGCAGTTTTCAATTCATAGGTGTCGTATTCATCTAGATCAGTGAAAACATGTAAAATTCATTATAGTTTATAGATGCCTTTCAGAAAGGTCCTCAATACAAATGCAATTTATAAGTATTGAAAGTTATTGGTCTAAATTAATTGAAAGTTATCAAATGAATACTGTATATTGCTTAATGTTTATGGATGAAGAAGTATCATTAACATTAATCTTGGTCTAAATCTTTAAAAGAATTATAAGGAAATCTATGGTTGAAGTTTGTATGGTTGTTTAACTGAGTATGAAATAAACATCTACTAAATAGTATTTGTTTTTGAAAATTACTGATTGCTTCATTTAGAATAGAAATAATAAAAAAGAGTAAGATAATTCCCTTTAATTCCGACCGTATTTAGATATCATCTTAAAAATTTATAATATTATAAAAAAAAATTTTCGACGCAAAGATGACTTTATATGTAGATCGAGCATGTGCTTTCTAATGTGCGTATTCATCCGATTAAGAAATACATTGTAATTTCACATTTATACCTAACACGAGCAACCTCGTGTAAAAAATGGCGGTAAACGCTCCGTAAGCCTTGAAATACGGGCTTCCAGAATTTTATATTATACAACAGCAGGTTTCTAGTGTCTGTGACAGATGTAAAAAGTTACGCAGTACTTCACTACAAAATAATTATATTATAGTCATTTTGGATAATTGATTCCAGCTCTTTTAAGTGTTGAAAATTGGGTATCGCTCATGCCGGTGCAAGCAGGCGTGAGTTATGTTGCAGTTTTTATTATTCCTCATGTTCTGACTCAATCAAACAGAGTCTGCAATTTTCGTGTATTTCTCTACCCAGTTTGTTAAAATTATAGCCTTTGGGTCTAAATTGGGCCCCTCCAGTGGTTTCTTGATCTTACTTTATGGATATATATGGTTAAAGCTTTAAATGGTCTCTTCTATATAATCATAAGGCAAAGGCTCGGGTATTTGGCATGGATCATTGTCTAATGGACCTCTGTCAGGCGTGTTCAGATAACATTCTTGTGATCTAAGTTTGCCTACCCTGGGCGATCATGGATTTCCCTTATATTTTTAAAGTTACGAAAACTTCTTTTTACAGTCTTAAATATTTAACATGAAACATTGTCTTGTAGAGCGCTGGAGTTTGTTAAAGTTTTAGCCCCATGGTTTAAATTGGCTCCATCCGGGGATGCATAGATTTCGCTATAGGTAAAAAGTAAAACATTTAAATACTTCTTCTCTATAGGCATTGTTTAGTCACCCTTGTTCCAGATTTTTTTAAATGTAAAAATCGATCAAAACTAAGAAAATCTGTGAGTGTTTATAATGATGTTTGTAATATGGATGGCAACAATGAATTTTTTATGTAACTGTTTTGACGTGATTGCATAAATTCATAAAGAGCGATCAGTGACCACATTTGTCGCATGATGATTGCCAATTGCACGTTGTAGCTACTGTGAAGCAGTAAACACAAAATCAATTACATGCCAAAGATTCTGACGATATGCACAACTTAACTTGGTACTGATCATTTCTGTAAAGTTTGGATGAAATTGCACCAATAAATTCTGAGGAGTAGTTCGGACAAGCTTCTGTGTGGCTTGCAACACAAAATTCATGAACATGCCAAAACATCTTTTTATTCACAGGCAATAACTCATTCATAAATCATTCAAGCTGAAAACCCACAAAATATGCAAAAGTACTTGATCTTATAATCTATCTTGCTTGTAAAATGTCATTCAAATTGCATTAGTGGCATTAGAGAAGTCCGGACAAACTTTAAAAATCAAAATCCGGACAAACTTTAAAAATCAAAATCTTTGAAGGGTAATAATTCTTACAAAAGTCATTGAAGCAGAAAATATGCTGACGATATGCTCAACTAAAGTAACTACCGATCATTCTTGTAAAGTTTAAATGGAATTGTACCAGAAATTTCGGGAAAGTAAGATAAGATATGATCCGAACGACAAAAAGTGATTTTAACAAGCTATAAATCACCGATTTGAATATAATCTTTCGATTCTAACTCGACGCCATCAAATAAATGTTGCCTTACCGGATATTAAGCTCAATTGCGCCTGATTTGTTTCCGTTCTAATTTTCAGCACGTCGCATCTTTAAAAGTCACGTCACATCTTTCAAAAATGCTTACGTCAAATTTTGAAATATAGAGCGTAAACAGTTATTTCATTTCATAATCACACCATTTTCGGTCCTTCTATGTTCAATTGGGAAAATACGGGTCGTATTAGAATTAGGCATTATGTACGGTAATATAACACATAACCAAGTTAAACATGAAGAATTTGATCAAAAGTTCTGAAACTTAGTTTTTTTAGGACATTTTTCGGAAGGGTTGGAATAGAAAATTGTATTTTTTTTAAATCTATTGGCCATATTGCATAAAATATTGACCACCATAGTAAATCTTTGAAAATCCCTTGTTTACACTTTGCAAGTATAGCTAAGACATCACAGTTTGTTTTGTATATTACTAAGTATATTTAGAATTGTTAAATGATGAACTTATCATGTCTGGTTTTTTAATAAATATAATTATCTTACGGTATCATTTGCATCGTAAACTGTTTAATATGCAGAAATTGCAATCTGGAGTTTGGCTAGACACAGTGAAAAATAAATCCAGGCTTCTTCATGCCCCTAGCACAGGCATAGGCAGTACAATAATCAATATTTTTTCATTTGAATAAATAAATAAAAAATCAAGTAACTTTTATCTGATAAAAAAGGTCAGTTAAACATTACCAGGAGTTTACAGATTTTCTATCACATATTGTACCTCAGATACATCACAGTAATCATAGAGTTTACATTCATCAGGAAGTGTTTCATCGCTTTGATTGCCTAAAATACAAGCATGAAACTTTCAATAATTTAATATTTAGGATGATAACACATAGTCCTTAGGCTAATTATCGAGTAATTGCTGTATCTAGACAATAATTTGTCATTATATGTTTTCTTACTGTGCAATTTATGTTTTTTCTTTAATTTTATAATACTTATTAGAACAATGTCACTTACAAATATGGGAATCTTTAGTTCTTTTGCATGTTAGCAATGCTGGTATCTCCAGGCATTTTACAACTTCCTTCATTCCAGCTTCTTTAAGGGCTTCAATAAATAGCAAGTACCAATTGCGATGCTTTCGGTGGATTCTGTCGAGAAGCATAACTGCGGCTGCAAAGTTACCACGGTTGGCATCCTCCCTTTGAATATTTTCTTTGTCGAGTTCACTGATTAAGTCTTTTGCCAAAACAAATGAAAGGATTTCGCAGACTTTTATCATAGAGCCGAGTTTCGGAGTAATGTTTTTAATGTACTGTTTTTGAAATTTATGGTTGATAAACCTGTAACCCCTGATGTTATCGACGATGTACGAGTACCCTATTTTGACAAAAAATATTGATTTCAATGAAAGAGAGCAAACAAAATAAACTATAAATTATTAACATTTCAGCTGAAATTATTTGTCAATTTATCAGACTAAATGCATGACCGTAACATTTTATAATTAGCATATTAGTATTAAAGTTTATTCTCTTTAAAACACACCTGAACAAATAAATACGTTATGATTAAACTTCAAACGTTAATTCAAGCTTAAAGAACAAGCAAAAAACAAGTATTCAAAAGTGCTAAAGAAGTATTGAAAGTACTTCGTCATGTTACCATTGGTAGATAAAGCATTGATGAATTTTTCCCACTTTCCGAGTTCTTGACAGGTCTCTAATTCGTCCAAGAGGATCATTACAGCTGCCTTGTCGGAATTATTCTTCATTTGAGCATATATATCATCATGGTTTTCTGTGATTAAATAAAAAAAAACCTTTCATTGTCACATGCATCAATGTTTTTGTCCGATTAAAAAAAATATTATAAAGGTGTATTCACCTAGTTGACAATTGAACTTATATTTTCCTACCATCAAGAAATTGTAAGCAGATTTCTTTATATTCTAATCTCAGTGTCTGCAGTAGGTAGTATAAGGATCTTACACCGGCTGCCGGTACAGACCATAATATCTTGCTTGAGGATAACAGTTTACGGTGGTACCGAGGTTCTGCCGAGTTTCCACAACAGTTACCCGAGAACTAGATATTCGTGTGTGTGACGACAGCCAGTTTTTGATTAATTTTTCTTGCATATGCTATATAAATCATTATTAGTAAAGAGATTATGAGAACTTATATTTTAATCTAATTCTTTTTTCTTATAGTATCGGATGGATTTACAACTTCATTCATAACGGCAAAATTGCGTCATTCTAGGAAATCAATTCATGCATAAACGGCGCGCGGGAATGACTTTTTTAAGAGCACGCGACTTATCTTACATGGGAGTTGGAGTTTGCAGGTTTTTCAAGCACATGTGTAATCATAAAAGAGTCCAGTCTGATATGAATCCTGTCTGATATGCAAGAAACATGATAATTAAATATGCATGATGTTGGGCAACAAATGGAGACAGAAAATGATGGAATATGTCTTATCCCTGCTGAAAGAACCTTGACAAATAAAAATCTGGAAACAAAAGTGATCCCTCGGAAGCATAAATAACACAAAATTACATGAAAATTGCACACTCAGTTTGATTGAGTCTGTAGATGAGAGATAATGAATAAGTGCAACATCCCTAATATAGCATCGGCTTAATCGGTACTCAATTCTCAACACTTAATAGTGCTGGCATCAAAAACTTCATGTAAAGAACATACTAAAAAAGTTTCATATGATTCATGAAGATGTTTTCATTTGTTAGAATTGAGTGCGGATAACGAAGCCGAAGCGTCATCGGTCCTTAAAGATCCCATAGTTACGTACATCGTTCAATTTACTGAAGTGAAAAAATATCGGTCATTTTAAACAAACGGAAAAGATGACTATGCTATGCAAGTTTAATGGCATTAGTGATTTAAATTTACATACTGAACACATTTTGCTTCATTTCATAATGTTATCATATCTTCGAGAGAAGTTACTTAGATAACTTTCTAGATTACTTTCTCTACAGAATATGAAGCATAAACATCTTCCTCAGTACAAACCTAGAAATGGTAATGACGGTAGGATGTCATGAACAAGCAAATTCTGGACTATCAATGGCCTGAAGATGTTAACCATTTCGTTATATTCTGAACATCTACTAGTAGCATGTGTCGCGACATCTCGAAGTTTTGTTTTCATGTGTTCTTTAACACCCTTTTTAAGTGTCGTTTCGACATTTCCTCTAACTTGTTTACATTGGTCAAATGGATGTCTATAATCATCAGCCTTAAATATACTCACAAACATCATTTTACGTACTAAGACAATTTTTTTCAAGAGCTGTCTTTCAGCAGACTGAACAATTAGTACAAAATATTTACGATCAATTAGTTAATACAAATAAATTAAAGTAAAACATAATTCCCCATTGAATTTATACACCAGAGTAAGCATAGAAAAAAATGCAGAGATTCACAAAAAGCTCTAATATTTATGAGAAGAAAGATACGAATCAAAGATCATTAATATCGATTTACCTTATCTAAGGTGTGCGTCTGAATAGATTCTTCCTCCTCTTTATTTTCAGTCAATTCAAAATTCTTCTTCGTGTCTGTTAGAGGTGATTGAGGCATTAAAAGTTAATCCTTATTTAAAAAGATTGCGAAATACTTAAGAAAAAAACTTAAACAAAACAATTTGTCTCAATTAATTACACGATAAAAATGCATAGACAGTGTATTACGACAATGAAATATTTTAAGTTTGCATATAAATGTACTTCATAATGAAATCAGAGACAAGGTTTTCATTGAAATAGAATGAAGCTTACCGGTTTCCATAAAGTATTGGGCCGAGTCTGGTAATAAAGCTGGGATTTGAAGATTCATTGCAACCTCATTCATACCTGCTTCTTGTAAAGCCTCTATAAATACAACATACCAGTTGCGATGTTTCAGATGTATTCTTTCAAGCAATAAACATGCACCTGCAAAATTACTACGGTGTGTACATGCTTCTTGAACATCTTCAACGTCCACTTCTCCTAGAAGCCCTTTACGAAGAAGAATTGGAAGAACGTTGCTTGGAGAAATCATTTTACCTATTTTTGGAGTCAGTTTCCGTATATATTCTCTCTGATATTTAGGGCTAATAATCTTGTAGCCTTGTATATTGTCAACAATGTACATGTATCCTGCAAATATATTTATAATCTTTTAATCAAAGTCCACAATTTATGCGACAAATGTAAATGTTCTAATAGCATAGTCAATTTTTTACAATTTACAAACTGCATTGTTCTAAATATTGCAATATTAATTTTATACTTTATCCCCCAAAACAACACTTTTACAATCTCATAATGGTCTATGAATTTTAGGTACATGTATTTATTTGTCTTAAAGTCATATATTATTTCTGGTTGTTTTGCTTAATAAACAACGTACATTAGAGAAAAAAGACATTTATTTGCAAAGAAGTATGTCATATTCTAAATACATGCCAGAAGCCCTTAATGCATCAATGAATTTTTGCCATTTTCCTGGTTCTTCACTTTCTTTCAACTCGTTCAAGAGAAGCTGTACAGCATTTTCCGGTGAACTGTTTTTCTTTCTTGCATATATATCATCAGGATGATCTGTAAAAAATTAATAATCTAGAAATCAATCAATTTCTGAATAAAACTAATATACACTTTCATCAGATATATTTACAAAATTTGATTATTATAGATATATATGTTTTACATGTGCGAAACATATCATTAAAACATACCAATAAATTGCAAAGATGGCAAGATGTCTTCAACGAGCACGTTTTGAACAATTAATCTATGGAATGTGTTCACCATTTCACTATATTCCAAACATGTACTTAATTTTACTTCTTTTGTTCTTGGATCATCTTTCATGTCTGGTGCACGTTTACTCGTACTACTTAAATGAAACACCTAGAAAGGAAGAAAAACTTCATTCATTCATTTAATTAACAAAACTGCTGTTAATCTTTTGACTTTGCCAAAAATGCTTTCTTTCTTCAGGTGTTCTAAAGTAAAAGATAATAACCTCATGTTTGTAAATCTCATTTAATAATGAAACGTTACGGTTAAAATAGTTAAGTACTTAAAATAATGTTTATTTCAAATGTCTTTGGATAGGTCAAGGGCATGTGTTTATCATGTAAAGCTTTAAATATTTTCCAAATCACAGTCTCGGATACATTTATATATGGATACGATTATTGTTATGATTATTTTCAACATAATAATTATTTTAAAAAAGGTATTTTCGCAATTGAACCAGTACCTTGTCCTTAATGGTTTTGTTTGTTTTTTCTATATCATCCATTTCGTTTTCTAAGATTGTGTTGTAATGACTCTCGTCTTCATTAATATAAGCATTTTCATGTGGTATTGCAGGTAATTTGTCTACAATACAAATGGAGAAAAAAAACAGAAGCATTACAAACACAACAAATAATTTAAATTATCAAAATTAAAAATAAACCATATGATTATATGACCATGTACCGTTTTGCTATATGGCTGTGCAAAATAAATATAAAATATAACTGTTTGAATACTGCTTTGAAAACATTAATCGGATATATATCAATATACTTGCCAAGACCCCTTGTGTTGTTGGGAAACACAAATAAGTAATCAATTAAAGAAACAAAAGAAGCTACGAATGTAAAGCTATTGCTTGGGAAACGAGTCCTATATTTGTAAGCAGCATTACCAGTATTTAGAAATAAGAGTACAAAACCGAATTGAAATAATAATGGCTTTAGATATGTGTTGAGGTTTCTCTTAAATTATAAAATCATGCGTTTTCTTCAAATAATCTAGTAACATGAATACGATATTTCGATATGATATTATATTTTGTTTTATTATTCTATTGTCCATAATTTACAGAGGGCATTGACATGAATGAAAAGGGAATGAATCGAGTTTACAATACGACATACATAACTTCCTGGTTTAAACATTGTGTGAATGAATGTTTTGACAAAACATTACAAAGATATTCCTACACAAGAATACTAGTTTGTGTTATAACGCTGAAATACAAAGAAGAAAATTACTATCTGTCAAATGATACTGAACAAAACACATACAGTTTACGCATTGTTCACAACACAAGAAAGTTTCATAAAAATTACACCGTTAAATCTACAATTACCATATCTTGTTGTTAAAGCAGTTTAAGCAATATTCATATTCACCGTGTTTTTTGAAAGCTCCTTCTTTTGCTTCTCTCCCAATCACCGTTTCCTTGATTAAGACTTGTGTAGTCTTTGGAGAAACATTGTCAGGTTTTCTTTTCACCCAGACATCCTTATAAATACAAAGTATGGTATTTATATTATGAATCTTCATCACTTTATAACAGAAACGATTGTAGCAACAACAAATAATTAATAAAAAATAAATGACTAATTTCAATTCGTTGACAATATGTCCTCAACATCGATTAAACAATATTGATTCAAATGCTATCCCTTATCCATGTGTTAAATTGTTTCGGTCTGATCCATTAGTCAAGGGATAATGAAAAGCATAACATCACCTACAGTTCTTCTAATAAAGTAGAAATTATGCCTCTTGGATCCGTATAATTATGTATATTCAACTCTTCTTAACTGAAATACCAGAGACTAGACCTTAGATATTTTAACTTCACAGATATTATATAGATTCCGTTTGACCGGAGAACTGCCAAAACACGACATATTATGACGCTGGAACGCAGGCCGTCTTGCTATACCAGGTAGTCTTATGTGTAATCAAATTAAATGATATCTTCCTGATGTTTTACATGTACACTCAGCAATGGCGTATTAAATATCAACATCAATCTCTAAGAAGTTTGTTGAGTATTTTGTATCTAAACGCATTTGTCCATGGCTTATTGGAACAGACCTCGTACAATAAGATCATACACTGGCTATAAATATCATAATGCATACTTGTATCATAGTTTGGAGACCTTTCTGTTGAAAATATGTCAGGGTTAAATCGTATACATATACATGCACAGTGCGTTAACTGGAGTGCGGGTATTAGTTACCCGCACTCCAGAGCATGCCCATTGATTGGCTCATTTTGCTGGGGTTTACATATTGTGACGGCAGAGAAAGGGAAAGCGAAAGAAATGTCATATTCAGATGTTCGTTCATTGGTTCATTTTTGCCGGGGTTTCATATTGTGACAACAGGGAACGTGCTTTTATGTTTGACTATGATACAAAAGAGAAAGAACACCAAAACACTCGGCAATCTGATTAATACTAGGGGGCTAGGCCCCCTCGTACAAATCAGATAGCCTCGTGTTTCGGTGCTCTTTCTATTACATGTACAAGTGTCCTTCAAGTTAAATATAAAATATAGTGCATAATGAGTAAATGTAATTTTTTTTATTTAACGTTTTTAAAATAGTTTGATTAATGTTTTTGAAATACTTACATCAGGTCTTCCTTCATTATAAATTTTCTAAAAAGATAAAAGGTGAATAATTCTTGATATACAAAATGTCATAACAGTGTATATCACATGTGTCTTTATTTAAGTGTATATTGTCACATAAGCATACGAATCAGACAGAAAAAAACAACAACAAAACTGAACTATTCAACAATATTGTCCATATGACTAAATATTTACGGAAACATCTCGATAAACCAAAAAGACTCACCTTCAACAAAGAAACGGCAAAACTCTTTGGCATCAGCAAGAGAAATGTGTTAATATACAGGAATGATTAAAAAGGAAAGAGGGGTACTGACGCCCTTCATACCGCGGCCAGTACAAGCCAGTTCAACTTTTCAGTGATAAGAAACAAGGTGCAAGATTTTTTTTGATTTTCGTACCCAACAATTCAGAAACTACATGTATTGCTCATTTCTGTCTTGAAACTTCAAATTCAATTTAGCTCAAAAGTGTTCCTTTCATGCCCTCGAAGTACTCCCCGTGGTTAAAACCGAAAGTTTCAGCCGATGTATCCACTTCTTGCAGGCATCACGGTACGCTGATTTGGGCACAGTAATAAGGTACAGATGAAGGCAGATCCAAGTGCCTGTCGGGACTTGTATTTCCGCCCAGCAAGGAAGAATTACAATCTCAGAAACAAAAAGAAATCACATGGGGCAAGGTCTGGAGAATACGGGGGGTGAGGTAAAATACTTACTTTTTCTTTTTTCAAAAACGCCGAAACTATTACCGGGGTATGAGCGGGGTATTGTCATGTAGAAAACGGATATGCTTAAAACCAGTGACAGGGCGTCGGTTCTTATAATACTTTTTTAGTTTCTTAAGTACTACGTCTTTGTAGTACTTCCCAGTGATACTTTTGCCCTTTTTCACTAGTACTTTTATTGCGAGTCCTTCACCAGAGAAGAAAATTGCATACAGAACCTTCTTTGCACTCAGAGACCGTTTGGCAATTATTAGGCGTTTGTTGTGTTTAGTGGCCCAGATTTTGTTGCTAACTTTTCTGACGGGCTCAAAATAATGGACCCAAGTTTCATCACCTGTGACAACATTGGCAAACTGTTTTTTGACATATTTTGGAAACATTTGAAGCAGCTTTTTGGCAACCTTAACCCGTTGCCTATTTTGCTCATTGGTCAGCACATGTGGCACCCATCTAGCAGAAATCTTTCTGACTTTCAAATGTTTCTTCAAAATAAATTGAACCGTTATGCCTTCCTTTCGTGCAATATCACGAACTGTAAATCTGGCATCTCCTTCAATGATATCCTTTATTTTGGAAACGATTTCGTTACGAGATGCAGATTTTGGCCTACCTGATTTTGGTACATTTTTGATGCACTCTATACCAGACTCAAATTACTTTTTCCATCACCTTACTGTGTCATAAGACACATAAGAAGACCCATAAGCAGGAGAGGGTTCAGTCATCAACTGCTTCAAAGAGCAACCCAGTTTTGAGCGAGCTTTAATGTAAGCCCGTATTTCATCTTTTTTTGTCGACGCTTCTACCAACCATTTTTACTACAGTGGTCATTGACTGCGTGTATTTAAATGGCAAATTGTATGTCTTTCACTTAGTCTAACGTGTAATCTATACACCGTTGTGTAGGTATTGAATTACCATATATAGGTATGTATTGGTTTTTATCGTGTCCCACGTGGATCACGAGATAGAGGACAATAAGCATTTTTTTGCGAACAGCCCTCGTACACGATGTACTGATAAAAGATATCCAATATCCTAACAGTCGGGAACTACTTCTCAAAAGAACGCTACGCGATATTGGCTACAGCTTGAAAAAGACGACTGTCAACATAAAACTTATTACATAAAAGTGAAATGCTGTTGCACAAAGGATGTCAATTTATGAGAGGAAAGGACACTCAGAAGAAAGAGGCTTCCAATTTATATTTGTTAATGAAACATGGTTAGACACCTCCTACACAAACAAAAGTTATTTGAATGGTCGGACTTCTAGCCAACTGAACTGATTTGGCCCCAGCTTAAGTCCATTGTCCGTGTATGAAATATGACATACATGTGCGTTAGCTATAGAATAAATAATATCAATAAAATAAATTGAAATAGAATGTAATGCTAACTGTCTGGAAATGTTGACAAATATTTTAATATTTAAAAAATTGTATCTTAATACAATAAATAATATAAAAAAAATGTTACAGGTGTGCGTTGTTATGCAGTGATCAATATGGTATTTTTAAAATATTTTTTAGAATTGATGACTTATTAAATTTCGCAGACGCAACTTTTGGTGCTAATAATAGACCTAATAGAGATGGCGTCGAGCATGTGACCATGTTGAAAGGTTGATAGAGAAAAGCAAGGCACATGACTGGTACAGAGACCATCATAAAATGGAATAAATCATTATAAACATTCATGATACATCTAGTGATGACTGGGACAGTGATACGGCAACCGCCAGTATTGACAGTGCGATTAATACTGCCAGTGAAATTGACAAGTCGATTCATCGATTTGTATTTACGGGCTAAACATTTTATTGAATATAGATGAAATAAAATATCTACATGTATTAAACTCTTCTTAAAAGGTATCGACCAATATAATTCTGCTGCTCCTAGGACAATTACTTTATGAATTAACATTAATGGTGTCAGTGATTCAGAAATAAGGACATTTTATCCCTTCAAAAATACCCCTTTTTCTACAGTATTGTAATTGTATCTTTTCAAAGGGAAAAGAATGATAATTTAAACAGGGAAGAGAACTTTGAATGATGAAAGAAAATCATAATTGAAACAAATTTATGAAACAAATATGGTGCCCTATCCTTACTTGCAAGTTATCTCAACACTAAAGCTTACTATATCGAACCAACCAGATAATCTTCCGAGATAGACAATCCACACGTCTGATATGTGAATACATCTTAGAGGCAGTTGAAGTCAGTCAAATTCGACGACTTCATTGTTTTCTCGTTTAGGGCACACGCTTTTTATTACTTGGGGACCATACGCCGCTTTCCATGGAATGGCACGAAAGTGTCACATTGAAGGTTCCATGTTAACCGCCGTATGAACACATCTGCAGATGTTTCTAAATTCAAAATTTTACTATTTCACGTTTAAATGTTGAATTCTGCTTAAGCCGGTGCTAGGGGGCGTGGACGGTAACTTGCACTTTCCAGTACCGTCCATGAACAGGCTCAATCAAACCGAGCCTGCAACATTTTCAATTTTGCCGTGTTGGGCTTTCTTTAGGGATTCTGTATTTATCTATTTTAAGATCACATCCGTGTTATTTGTGCCGTGTGGCGGCTGTAAAAAGTCTCCCCGTACATTTAATCAATGATGTTATATTTTCGATCCTTGAAGATCGTTCAGCACGGCATTATTGTTGTGCTTGTGGTATTTTCAGTTTCAACTTTTCGGCATTTTCTAGTTGGGTGGTTCCAATATTCTTACTTGAATAATGTTGAATCACCCTTAGGATATGTTGCCTGCTTTTTAAATTTGTCTTTTGACGTCTTATCTGTGATACGCAGGCTTCATAACCTCTGATCCCCTTTCAAAATTCTATTTTATTTAGTTCCGCCCATTGTTTTGTCGTTTAGGGCACACGCTTTTTATTACTTGGGGACCATACGCCGCTTTCCATGGAATGGCACGAAAGTGTCACATTGAAGGTTCCATGTTAACCGCCGTATGAACACATCTGCAGATGTTTCTAAATTCAAAATTTTACTATTTCACGTTTAAATGTTGAATTCTGCTTAAGCCGGTGCTAGGGGGCGTGGGCGGTAACTTGCACTTTCCAGTACCGTCCATGAACAGGCTCAATCAAACCGAGCCTGCAACATTTTCAATTTTGCCGTGTTGGGCTTTCTTTAGGGATTCTGTATTTATCTATTATATAGTCGGATTGTCCCGAAATTCTGATTTACAATTTGACTGTGTAAGGGTTTTGTTTTAGAAGTGCATGCTCGATCACCGTGTTAATTAAACACAAATCAGTCCAGTCAATTAAAAATTATACTTACTTTTGAACAACATCCTGCATATTGGTATGTTTCCTACAATAATTAAAATTAAAAAAATGCAATTTAATTTGTACAGGTTATGAAAGTTGAAATGCTTTAAAGTTTAGCCAATTAAACACAGACAATTCTTTTCCGCAGCAGCTGAGGAAGATAATTATCAAAATAAATAATTTAATCAATTGAATTATTGATAGTAATTTTGTTTTGTAACCATCATTGTTTCTGAAATAAGGACATTTTATCCCTTCAAGAGTACCCCATGGACTACTTTTTCTACAGTATTGTAAATGTATCTTTTCATAGACAAAATAATAAAAATTTAAACAGAGAATTGAACTTTGAATGATGAAAGAAAATTAATTGAAACGAATTTATGAAACAAATGGGGTATCCTATTCTAACTTGCAAGTTATCCCAACACTAAAAATATTTGTTCTTTCTTACTACCATCTCGAGTTCAGCTTCTTCTTGTTTTTTCGGCTGATACTTTTTATGCATTCGGTTTCAGCCCCGGTAATATCAACTGGTTCCCCGAGAAGTATACACCTCTACCTTTACTCTCGTACTTTTTTAAATGCCTTATCTGTGACGGCTCTTAAGTCCCTATAATGAGTGTCAAATTTGTTTATTTCCCAAAATAAAGCTTTTAAGAAAAATCGAACCTACCAGATAATCTTCCGAGATAAGTGAATACATCTTAGAGGCAGTTGAAGTCGGTCAAATGCGACAACTGATAGAGTCGAATTGTCCCGAAATTCTGATTTACAATTTGACTGTGTAAGGGTTTTGTCTGAGTAAGTGCATGTTCGATCACCGTGTTAATCAAACACAAATCAGCCCAGTAAATTCAAAATTATACTTACGTCTGAACAAAATCCTGCATACTTGCATGTTTCCTACAATAATTAAAGAATACAATTTAATTTTTACAAGTTATGAAAGTTGAAATGCTTTAAAGATTAGCCAATTAAACACAGAAAATTCTTTTCTGCAGCAGCTGAAGAAGATAATTATTGAAATAAATAATTAAATTCATTAGATTATTAATAGTAATTTTGTTCTGTAACCATGCGCCAAGTTGATATTTTTTTAAAGGTCGTTTAGGCCAGGGAATTTTTATTCAATCTTAAATTATGTACTGAATGAAATAGAACAGTGCATGCGGTGACATACGAACACTGTTAAAATGTTCAAATGACAATGGTTTCTGCTCTATTCAGCGTGGTTTCTATTTCCTTGTTTTAACAAATTGCTCTTTGCATTTCACAAAACACAAGATATAATCAAAGAAAAGATCTTTATAAATGACGATAAAACACACACAAAAGCTCAAATGTTTCAGGTAAACAAGTATCGCGATATGTAAGGTGTATCATTTTGTCAAAATTAAAGAGGCTTTGCTTTTAACATCTTTGAAAATCATTCTTTTATTATCAACAGATTTTATTAATGATTTTACGTCTTAAGCATACTAAAGTAGGTCTAAGAAAATGTATCTTTTCAACCATAAATCTAAAGTCGTTCAAATGAAAGAATGGGCGAGGACTTTAACCGTTCAGTGGCTACAGCAAAAGTACGCAGTTCATTTTCAAATTCAATAAAATATTATATAATAGAATTGTGACATAATTATTGCGTAAACCTCTGAACTCTTGATAAACGTTTGGTATGATTTGTGGCTTGTTTCAAAACATTGACTCTCTTATTTTCCTATTATATTTCAACCTTTTATCAGACAATTTGAAGACATTTCGAAATTAGTGTCGGTTAAGTATGACAAAAGTCTTAATTCAGGAAGTACTGAAAAGAGAGCGAATAACCCATAAAATTACTACATGTCAAAGTTAATCAATGCCCCGACAGCGTAAAAATAAATACATGCATCAATAAATACTACTACTACGACTTCTGCTACTACTTCTACTGTTACTTATAATAAAAATAGAAATAATAATAATAATTATAATAATAATAAAAGAAAAAATCACAATTTCAGTTTCAATTCATTATGATATAAGCCAATTATAACAATCTAAGCTGGATAAATACAAACATAGATGAAAGCTATTATATTGTTCAGGATTTAAAGATTTTTTTAAACAATGCGGCTAGTTTATTTTCTTATCTTAAGACATCACGGAAACGATTCAAAATTTATTTATGTATATTTGTCATATATTTATGCAATGACATTACTATAGCATACACTTTTTTGGAAAAAAAAACTTTAGAATTAAACGCAAAAGACAAATAATGATATAATCATTAATCATGAAGTTCAATTTTTTTCTGTATTTTTGCAAAATGTATTATAAAATTTAATAACTAATAGATCTAATTATAATTACCTTTTCCTTTAGTATTGGATATTTAGAATCAATGCCTCCCATTTTGCATATCACACAAATATGTACGTAGGGACTAACCCAAACAATCTTTATACCCGGATGTTTCTTTTTTTAGTTACGACAAGTCATGCTGGATTTCTTTATATTTTTCCCAAATACAATGTATATACATGATGTATACTACTCAACGTTAGCTAAGCACAATGAGTTTGAGTGTGAATGTTTATTAGGATAATTTTATTAACGCCGTGCGAAAGGTTTTAAATGTTGATTTACAGTATTATCAATTCAGCTGAAGGACGAATTTAACCCTATAAAGGAGTTTAACACTGAATTTGTGCTAGAGAAGAGGATTAGACCCTCTTTGAAGATTTCGGAACATGCAGGGTGATTTTCAAATTTCTTAAAATGGATTTTTTTTTGTGTACAGTTTTAGACTTAAAACTTAGAACCTATGGGGAGGAGCATAATCGTCCATTAGAATGAACTTATCCGCAACTGCTCTAGCATATTGTGTAATATGTCGTCTATGTATCACTGACCTGTCAATGTGCCTCTATTATGCACAACCAGGTTGGTAAGTCTATCCCAGCTGATGTCTCCACACACCATAACTGTCCCACCTCCAAACCGGTCACGATCAACAATATTTGCAGTTTTAAACTGTTCACCTCGTCTTCTCCAGACTCTAGCACGCCTATCAGTGAAGTCTAGGCTGAACATGTACTCATCAGTGATCAGACTGTGTCTCCTGTGTAGCATATTCCATCGTGTATGTTCCATGGTCCATTCCAAACGGCCTGGCGATGTCGACGCGTTAAGGGGATACGTATGCAAGGTCTTTTCGACCGCAGATTACCATCATATACAGCCTTCTACGTACCGTCTGCATGGAAACATGGACCCCCCGCATTAACAAGGTTATTTTGAAGAGAAGTTGTTCTCAAAAATCTTTTACGACGTGCCCTGAACGACCAAAAAACGATCCTGAGCTTGTGTTGTGACCCTTTGCCGACCCCCAGCATGCCTCCTGGCGGATGTACCATGTAGCCGGTATCTCCCCCAGGCTCTGGTGATGACGGTCTAGTGTACACCAAGCACTGCACCAACCTGGCGGAAGGTGGTCCTCTGCTGCACCATCCCTACAACCCTCCATAACTCTGTTTTTTTTTTTTCAAATGCTGCGTTATGTTAGCATTCGCCATATCAAAGTGACAGATAAATGCGGTAAGAAATCTGTTTTATACTTGTCATAATATAAAAATTAACTTATTTTGTTTAGCTAATGTTGAGTGGTATATATCAAACCTGCATTCACAAGCGAGGTTTAACCAAGGCAAAAAATGGCTGCAAAAGAATGGTGCATTACCACAGCATACCTTAAGAAAGCTACCTTGACGAATGTCTGTGTTGTGATAATTGAAGTTAAAGCGGAGGCGTAACGACAAGAAATAACCCATTCGTCCGTACAAGTAACCAGTTTATACTGTGACAGGACGCTTATGTCAATGCCGTTCTGGAACGCTTACCACATATTGTGCAAGGAATCCGACGCTAAAAGTCTTCTTTACATAAAGGTAGTGCTGACACACTCGCATTGGTTTAACATAATGCTTTGGACATTTATATAGTATATCCCGATTTTAACAATATATTAATTTTAATAAACAGAGTATGAACAAAAAGCCCTAAATTTGAGCATTAACGTTAACCTTTATGTATCAGACGTAAGCGCTTCGCAGCCATCTTTACAAAATGGTTATCAACGTCTACGCGATGAGGTATTGTAACCTGATAAAAACAAATATGTTTAAACCAAAAAGATAAACGCAAGATTATTATGAATATATTAAGAAAAATAAGTAAACCAATAAAGTCATAATTAAGTCATATTTTAAGCCCGAGTTTGGACATTTTTCATAACTAGAATAATATTTTGGAGAATGGATTAAGCAGATGATCTAAAATATTGCACACAAGTTATTGGTTTAGACCTTCAACATTTGAAGCATTTATCTAGAAAAAATATGTCCATTGTCTCGTCATGTCAAGTGTTTATTATTGGCAATGGCCAATGTGACTTTGCATTGTTGGTGGAATGCAATATCGGACCAGGAATTAGTCTTTTTATGATTTATTCTTCTCAAGTATAAATATTTCGATATCCGACTATTAGATAAAGTCCATCATGACTTACCAATGTCTTGACTTAATCGTTTTTTATGGAATGTGTTACTCCCGGAATTCATCAAGAAAATTAATCCATTAGAAATATAAAAGTATCCCTACTTATTTGTAAGAAGCTATTGTGAAGTTATGAGTTGTTGCCGTTTTTTTAATTTCTGTAGTTTAATGATTATTTCACACTAACCGCATGATGTGCTGATCTGTCTTGATTTTTCTCAGCTAGTATATGCATATGCCAGTTAAACCATTGTTGATACATTAACAAAAAATTCAATATTTTAAGAAACATACTTTCCTTTTTTAAAATAAAGCACAGATATTGACGGGCACTTGGTCGTGACCGTCAATAAAAATGACGAAACATGACTTATTAAAAAAAATTGCTGTTTGCTCTTGCGAGCGAAAATATACGAAACATTTAAATATCATATAGCATCACTTTTGCATTGGCTGTGATTACTGATGTATGCGAGAAAAATGAAGTTAATATGATGTAGCTTTGCACGGTGAGGCGAAAGGTCGACACATAAAAAAACAACAAATCGAACAAATTGAATCGAATTTGGTATGTTGTTGCATGGTCAACTTTTGCCATGCTATCCAATGATACTAGACAAACAGGAGGAAACAAAGTGTAAAAATGAAAGGTTTTTTGTTTAGTACCTTTTTTCCATGTGGCGTCTATTCGTAGTTCACTTTTAAGGTGAAAAAGTAGCTTAAAAGTTTTGCCTTTTTTTAGCAATAAAAATACGCACATACAAAAATATGCCATATTTCAGCCTGATAATGTAGTCAGTTTTAAATTCAGGCAAGTAAGCGTCCGAAAGTTGATGATTCTATCACGAGCCAGCTATTGAATTTCTAAATACTTATACTGCTAGAGGTCGCATCCGGGTCATTTTCCACCAGTATAGTTGGAAAGTCTTTATATCGCCTTAGTAGTGTCGGGGTGACATTATATCCAATATAATCAATCCATGAATGACAAAAGTAATTACTTGACACGACCATTAATGAACTTTTATAAAATATTTCCTTGCTTGGTGTGATTTAGACCTTTGAGCTGCAAACCTATGTTTTGTATGCGACACATGGCATCTATGTGCCACCACATCAATGAAGTTTTTTTTTAAAAACCACTCAAGTAATTACAAAGTGATAAACTAAAGAAAAATGACAGACAAAAAAATTGTCAGACAAAAATTCTATGCGACCTTTTAATGATAAAAAGCACGAGATAATTTGAAAGATAGTTAAAAGTTGCGAGAGAAGGAGAAAGATTGTTAAAAGTTGCAGATGGAGAGGTAAGTCATTTTTCTTTTCTGATTTTATTTAGTTAACAATAATATTGTAATAATCTTAACAATCGATGAGCGTTTAAAAATTTGAATAATTTTATTCGTAATGGTCGTGAGGTCTTGATAACAATGGTTATGTTAAAATTTTGAATGTTAACATGTCCTTTGCACTTTTAAGTGTTGAAATCAAGTATCACTCAAGCCGGTCCCAGGGGGCATGCGGGATGTTACACCTTTTGATTATTCCTTATGTACAAATTCAATCAAACCAAGTGAAGTCTGCAATTTTTATGTAATTTTACTGATTTTCATGCTTCCTAGAGATCACTTTTGTCCAGATATATATCAGCAGTTTATGTAAAGTATAGAAATTCACAGTCATTCACAATTGAACAATTATTACAAAAGAGTTGTAAACATTAAACAAGAGAACATGAATTTGTCTCGAAATACAAATGTACGTAGTCAGGAAATATGAAAATCAAACCTAAGATGTGAACAGAAAAATTAGTGATAACTTTATGAATTTTGATTTTTTTCTGTGCTGTTAAAAACAACCTACTTAATAATTGTATTAAAATTAGTCATAATGACATTCTAGAAAGTGTTAAAACATGTTGTCTTTTCTGGAACTTAAATAGTCTTCAATCTCCCTGTAATTTTGCTTCGAAAAAAAGACTAGCATGTTTCTGAATGGATTCATATAATCACGGGAAATTATTATTTTTGTATTTATATGTATCAAAAAGGAAGAACAACAACGTGTTTTTTTCTAAGTTGTATTTCACAATATTAATTTTACATAAAAGGAAAGGTTAAACCATCTTTTTTCATATATTCTCACAGCCAAGTCCCGCATTTATTAACCTGTGGAACAAAAAGGTGAATTGTATGTTAAGATAATGGATCAATTAATTGGTCACTATAATTTAATGTAATGCTTGAAAAAATGCTTGTCACACTGTAACAAAAGGTTGTAACGCTTTACAAAGCAAAGTAAGTTTTCATTATAACATTGTAGCTTTTAACCCTGAACAGGCTGAATATTTTAAATGATCCTGTCCCACTTCAATTTTAGGGACTTTCCATTATCAATTTTAGGGATATCAATTTGAATATTTAAAGTCTGTCAGCCAACAGTATAGAGCCTGGTCAGACTGCACGGGTGTGTAGGCAGGTTTGGCTCTAAACTGGTGGCAAAGGCTTAAGACTTTCGGTTCCAGCACTTTAAGGGTTAAAATATATAATCATAAACATGATTATTTGCTTGTCAATGCAAAGGCAAGTAGGGAAACTTCTAGAAACCAGTTCATATTCAACATCTCAGCGTTTATATCTCTTATTTCAAGGGAACTTTTACAGTGTTGGAGAAACTTGTGAATTGTTTTGTTAAGTTTCATTACACGTACAGAAACTGTTCTTGACTGTTGCTGCAATTCATGTGTGCATCATCATAGAACTTCGAATAATGTTGGTTTTTATCTTGGAAGACCAATACAACATGCAGGAATAATATACAATATACTGTTATGATGCCCACTATATAGTATACCATTTTAAAGGGGTATCACCTCCAATGTAAATGAGTTTTAAAACCCTGCATAATTTTATTTTGTTATCACCTATAAAGTCTTCTGGCAACTTTGACCCATACAAGTCGATGGCATTGTTGTCTTGACTCAAGTAATTTTCATTCTATAAGTTTTCTTTGTTTTACATGATACTGAAGTTATTGTTTAGTTTTAAAATAATTAAAACATGTTTCACACAAGGAGGCATTGGCATGACAATTGTATCAATTATTATTAGGTTATAACGAGTTATTTTATTTTAGTACTTGATAATTCAAATATACGACAATACATTAAAAATAATTGCTACAGTGTTTTTTAATTGCCTCGGAAAAATAACTGCTATAATTTTCAGATTGAATTGGAAAGCAAGACCTGAGTATATTATAGTATCTTACCTATGATCTGACTTGCTGACGTCGCTTGAACGCAATCTGGTTATATAAAATATATGAGTTTTAAGCAGTGAATTAAATGTCAGATATCAATAAATCGTGTTATAATCTAAATATTACATCTAGGAATGCCAAAAGGAAAGTCGCTGATGTTTAATGTGTCATATTGAAGGTTCCATGATAACTGCCATATGAACACATCTGCGGATGTTTCAAAATTCAAAATTGTACTAGTTCATGTCATATATTGAATTCTGCTTAAGCCGATGCTAGCGGGCGTTGACGATAGGTTGCACTTGACAGTACCGTCCATGAACAGGCTCAATCAAACCGAGCCTGCAAAATTTTCAATTTTGCCGTGTTGGGCTTTCTTTAGGGATTCTTATTTTCTCTTTTTTTGTTAAACATGTTCTATATCCACTTATGACTGAAGGTTGAGGCGTCAAAACTGTTTATCTCAGCGTGATCATAAGATCATTAGACGCGACTAAATGGGTTTGAAAAAAATGGATAAAAACGTGATAGTCTAACCACTTGAAATGTATGTAAAAGTTCATTTTACGCCTTTATCTAAACAAGCTTTTATCTTATGAAAAAGAAATCATATCGAAATTTATGTCCGTGTGTCAACTTTTCATGCTCAAAGTTTGATAATCATGTTTTGAATGAATGTGAAAAATAAACTATATTCTAACAAACATTGCCAGTTTTGATACTGGCCTGATTGTATCATAAAATTAAAACAGTCGTTTTCATGTTTAAATTGAAATATTTGTTTTACAAAAAAAATATTATTAGATAAATTCGGTTACAGAAAGCCAAATATTGTAAAAATAAAAGTATAAATTATTGCTACAAGAAATACAGATGATGATTAATACAATTACAGAATAGGCTAACCGTCATTGGCAATATGACAGTATGACTTAGTCGAAACAGCAAAGGGATATCTCAATATTTGAAACAAGTATTGACAAACCTGTATCGAAGTTCATGCCTGCTGAATAGCTAGTTATGCTTCCTTGGTTGAAGACAAACAGACCAAATGGTTCATCGCTAATATGTGACACAACGTCATTTGATGACGTACTGGGTATCGTGAATAACGTGAAATTTCCCGTCGGTGTTCTGTGTGCAACCTATAATTGCAAAGTTAATGATAACTGCTGTCCAATCATAAGTGTCTACGGTATAATTTTATTATTATTAAGATAATGATATTATACTAATGTAGTAAGAAGATAAATACTGCTTAATAACCAGTTAAAGAGTTACATTCCAAACGAGTAGAAGTGTCAGCAAAATTATTGACCTGATAAGATATCGAATGTAAAAGAAAAAAATGAAATACGTCAAAGTGACAAATTTAAATAGATTCATGTATAAATTTTTATTATTTTGGTAGAGTAAAAAGTAAAAATACCACTTCTGGATTGTGTAGTAGTGGCGATCCGTCAACTAACAAGCCCAAGGCTTCTTCGTACCTCACTATGACAATGTAATGGGAATGAGTAGAGAATGTTAAGTATGACGTCATATACTGTGACACGGCCGGAATGTTGGTCATAAACATCGCTGCACCATGAGAATTCTCTGCTATCTGTACCACCATAATTGGGCTATCAGAAAATACTTCTAGTGCACTCGAGCCTTTTGTACTATATTCATAGTATATGTTTTCATAGACATGCATATGTCTCACACTTTCTGATGTGGAGTATATATCAACCAAAGCACCAGTGTGTGTAGAGTATATACGAACCTTGTAATTTTTGACCAACGAAGGCAAGGCCGGAACGATAAAATGAAAGCTTCCTTGAGTAATTGGTGGCACTTGCATTAAAAGATTACGTGATTGACCGTATGTGCTGGAATGATAATTGTATCCAGATGCCATGGATGAAAACACTGCAACAGGGCGGTTGCTTGTGATCGATGCACCACTTATATCGGACGATGATTTATAAATAAATGTTTCATTTGCGTGCAGGCTCTGGTATTTAGATATTCCATAATGTTTGATATGTATTGTCGTCGATTCATTGAGTGCAACAACAAGGAGTTGATTCTGGCTGTAAGTTGCCTTATTGTTTGGATAGGACGGTATCACATATGTGGTTGAAAGGGTGTTAACCGGCAATATGTGGTTATTTAAATCATAAGAGGGTGAGTTTTTATTGTAAGAATACACTGCCGATACTGAGATCGGATAATCGGCATGTATTCTGATGGAACTTCTTGAATTAACGTCGCTGTACCTGTTTATGAATGTCGAGTTAAGATTATATACACCAGTATGGTACAGTCGGTATCTTGTAGTGAAATAGATTGGCGTCTTACTGGCAGTTGCAAGAGATGGTAGGGTCATGTCGAAATAAGTTGATCTTTTGCTTGTTATATGTAAACTTATATCTGGATCCTCGGGATGGGTACTTCTGTAGTATGGTAAATCAGCTATGCTGAATATAAAGTCAGTGCCATATGAAGCTGAAAGTGTTGGTAAATGATATTTATTGACTTCCTTTAAACATATGAGCCGCGTCACGACAAAACCAACATAGTGCGTTTTGCGACCAGCATGGAACCAGACCAGCCTGCGCATCCGCGCAGTCTGATCAGGATCCATGCTGTTCGCTATCAGTTTCTCTACTTGTTATAGGGTTTGTAAGCGAACAGCATGGATCCTGATTAGACTGTGCGGATGATCAAGCTGGTCTGGATCCATGCTGGTCGCAAATGTATTATGTTGGTTTTGTAATGACGCGGCTCAATTATCTCAAATCATTATCCATCATCAACTTTGTTTCATTATCTAAAGAGGATTTTATTTCATGAAAGTTTTCTTTATCATATAAAAATAGCATTTATGATAAAATGTAAAATATCGGATTAGATAAAACTAATTTTACATTAAATGGAAAAAAATCTTTTGAAAATATTCAGTGCCGTTTACCTTATACTTATAGACCATTTGATCTCTATAAAAACTAACCTTTCGCTTGATCTCTCTCAATCTGTATATCTATGTCAGAAATCTTGAAAAGAAATGTCATTCTATACGCAATACCATTCTAAAGATTATTTTGTTCAGCCATTTTTGGGGTTTCGTTTCAATTATTTATTCTTTTCAAATCTAGTTTAAAATTCCTTGCAGTTAATTCGTCAAATCTTGGTTGAATGGTTGGAACAGCAGATTAGCAAATTGTAAAAGCACATACAACTGTGCCATTTTACTAATTTTACACATCAGGATCTTGCGGTAGAAGTTTTGATCCTTATATAGTAAAAGCCACTGTCTATTTTTTGTTCAGGCCAACAAATAAGTTGTTAGCTTTTTGTCAAGTAAGCTGTGGTATAATTGTCCTTGAAGTATTGATAGACATAAGTAAAAAAAAAACAATGGTGGGTATTGTCTTTTCCATTTTTTTACCCTTACCACCTGTTTCCTGTCTTGTCAAATTTACATTAAATGGAATAGACAAACTCATGAAAATGATCTTGAAAAAGTCTAAAAATCCGTTTCTATAATGGTTAAAAAATAAGATATATATATGCATTAAAGAATACGAAATGTTTATATTCAGTTCCACGATATATAGAAAACGCCAGTTTTTACAGAGATCAAATTGTCTATTCTTCATGTTGATGATAGTACCTAAGTCACGTGACACTGTATAATATATTTGAGGCATACGGAAAGTAAAACCGCATGGTTTATAGGGATCTTTGAATTGGAAGAAACTATAACCTGGATCGACTATATAGTATATTTTTGCTTGACACATATCTCAAAATGTCACGTGGTATAGGCAACATGTGATATTATCAAAGGAAAATACAACTGAAAGCTGGGTTATTGATAATTCGTAATTATCACTATTTGGACAGACTTTCGCATTGAAACGTGGCCAACGATTGGCTGAAAAGGCGCAGAGAAAATGGATGGAAATGGGAACACTTATTTAGGATATAACACTGCATTGTTTTCTTAAGCAAGATGAAACTTTAATAAGTCCTTAGCATATTTTGTGACTCGGATATTTGCATTTTAAAAATGTGTCAGGTACTTCATTCTGTAAGAAAACTCACCTTTTTAGCGTGAAAACTCAAAGTTAAGTTAGAATAAGGAACTATTTCTGATAAGTCTTGAGAAAATCAATGCGAGAATCTGCCCTAATATTTACTGCTTTACTTACATTCCATACATGTTGGTTCTCCATTGACAATCCATATGAGAGTCAACTGAAATTAATTATTAATACAATTATATATCATCAATGTATCATTGTTAGAATGACGATGCATTTCATATGACGGAGATTTGCAATAAAGAAGTACCCTTGTTTGGTCCAGGATATGGTTTTATAAGTCTGAATCCCAGCAGAATACAAACAAAGTAACTTCATAACTATTCAAAAAAGATAAAAAACAAAACAGACTGTTTGCTTTTTGGTTTGAGACATTGTACTGTGCAGATTTGTATTTTGGATACAAAATGAGTTAAAGAAAATCATCTAGACCGATGTTTCTTTATTATCATCTAGCCAGATAGTGTAAGACTGGTGTCAATCTAAAATTATACAGGCCGGTGAATATCTGATATCATCTAGCCAGATAGTGCAAATTCGGTGTAAATCTTAATTTATAGAATCCGGTGTATATCTTGTGTATATTTGAAGACAACTAGACCAGTGTATATATTATTATATCTAGCTAGGTAGTACAAATAGAGGTTTCTAGCGGCGACTAATAAGACAACCGGTGAATATTTTAAGTCATCTAGACCGATGCATATCTGATAATATCTAATCAGATAAGATAAGACAACCGGCTGAAAACAAATCGACATGATTACTGAAAATTAAGAATGTTACGTTCCGTTACGCACATTGTTTAGACCGTCTGGTCGATTATTAATTGCAGGTCAAGAGTTCAGACACAGACGAATAACAACAACAACAGCAACAACAACAACAAAACATGTTTTAAATTGAATTCAGTACATTTCAATAACTAATTTGAATAAAATATGGGGTGTACAAAAATACTTTTAATCATTTGCTTGTTTTGATTTATTTAATTGTTTTTCTGTCAGTTAGATATCAGGGGGCTATCGCGCGCCCCTGGGCTTTTATTCTTTAACACATCCTCTGTAGTGAGTCATTTACACAAAGCATATATTTACAATGTAGTATGACAATACATGTAATATAAATCAAATAATGCTTGCAATATGAAATAAACTTACGGAAAGAGAGCATATCCATAGCATCATTTTAAGCTATATATATAACATGTACAAACAATTTGACTTTTATAACACGGAGAAAATATTCATACACTTATAAGTATGCCTTATCTTATCTTAGGGTCAAATGTCGAGTTAAGAATTTAATGTAATATAACTATCATATAACCTCGGCATATTTCGTCAAGATAAGTTTTCTAATTAGCTCAGACAAGACAATCTCTGGTAGTGTAAGATTTGGGAGACCCCCCCCCCCTCTCCCTCCAAAAAAAAAAAAAAAAAAAAAAAAAAAAAAAGGAAAGGTAAAGTTTTTATTAAAAGCAATTTCTACTGTCTCTGAGATGATTTATTTATATTGCTTCATAATTGAATTACACATGGGTTTCAGTTGGTCAGTTTTATCCAGTGATATGTAAAAATCTAGATGGACATATTTTAAGTGTCATACCTCTTTTAAGATATTGATAAAAAGTTAATGAAAATGCACAATAAGGTAAATCTAAAAATTCTTAGATCATAGAACCAATAATTTTATAGTTTCAAAACGGATCTTAACATTAAGATCAAACATACACCAGTGATAACAAAGAATTGTTTTTGACAAAGTAGAAAATGCCGGTTGTGTGAACAACACCATGTTTGTTCTCGAAATAATGAAAATTACCTACCCAGTATTGCTTTTCCAGCAGTAAAAATTAGAAACCGCTCGCTTTCACAATTGTGAAACCACGCCGATAATTGGCGATTGAAAAGGTTACTAGAAGTTGACCATCTATTGGTGCACGTCAGATCCTAAAGCGAAGCGTTAATTAGGAGCACTGATTTTAATCGGTTTAAGACAATGCTCTACCTGGTTTGATAAATATAGATTCCCTTAGTGTGCGGAGATTGTTGTTTATATTTCGACTAAATCCTGCAAGCGCACATCATCTGCGTGATTTGTAAATGGAAATAGTTCAAATTAAATGTTATGTTCTTACTTTGTTCAAATTTTGAAAACTATTGAATTCTGATTACAATGTTTGTTTGCGCTATCACTATGCTCTCATTATGCTTTAATTTCTATTTATTTGGTGCCCTGGTATAGTTTCCAAAAGAACTCAAAATATTTTTTATTCACATTTAGCTCTTTATATGAAAAATTTCACATTCAGTGCCACTGTTTTCATGCCCCAAGCCTCTAAAATCTCTAATACAAATTTTTATAAAAAAAAATAACCCTCATGTTTTTGCCAAAGAGGCATAATGTGACTTTAAATTATCAAAACTGATATCTGACATGACCGGGCACAAATTAGTCAGGCAAGCGAGACAACTCATGTCGACTCTTGTAAAATAAGTAATACATACTATTCTCCCTTTATAAGTGTCTCTCTGTATTATACTGATTCAGTAACTTCTTATTTGTTAAAATGAAAGTATTAAAGGTAATTCTAAACTTAGTATATCATTTTGTAAGTTTGTTGATCATATTTGGCCGGAATGATTGCGTCGCCCCTCTCATTCTTTACAAAATGCATTGGTATCTGTTATTTTCCAGAACTTCGAACAAGGAAACATTCAGATCTAATATTGTACATTACAAATATAATCCCTGGTTCAGAAAAACAATTACAACTTACTTTGCAAACGGGTCAGGTAATCATTGTTATATTCAAACGCAAAGCATTGATAATGTAACACTGAAAACTTAAAGCCTCTGTTGATTCAGGGTTTACCACGACCAAGATCTTCTTAGACTCGTATTGTTTCGTTTAGATATGCTTATCAAGTGTTTTCTAACATTCTAAGTATACAACTATATGGATCTCTTTATCAAGCACTATCGTCCCTGTTATATTTTTCTGGTCCTTCGGGATCATTGATTCCAACACTGTTTAGTGTTGGAAAATGAGTACCGCTCCAGTCATAGCTGTGTGTGTGTGTTTGAGGGGGGGGGGGTGAGGCATGTTTCACTTTTTCATAATTCCTCAGGTTTAAAATCAATCAAACCGAATCTGTAATTTGAATGTATTTTTTTGTGGTTAACGCTTCCCTTTATCCAGATCTTAAATCATTTTTTTTTCGGTTATGTGTTCCGATTGCCGTTGTACTTATAACGGGTCGTTATAAATCGAAATGTATAGTAATTTATTAACTCAGGCTTTGATTTCTTTCACTTTTAGCTACAATTTATAGTTCAACTTCTACTTCTTCCATTTTTTTCAGACAACCACTACCAACAGTTTACACCCCAACACAAACACTACTACTACCAACACCAACAGCACAATCAATGTCACCACTAACCCAATAAGTACAGGTATAGCGAATAAGTATTTTATATGGAAATCAAAATACTACTTTGATTACATTTTGCTATTTTTATGACAAATTATTTCTTATTAATCACTACTTTCTTCAGGTGAAACGCATCTTTTATTCTCAAAAGCCACTATTTAAACATTATTAAATTCATGCTAGCCCTTTCTAGAGAAGAAAAAAAAAAGGTTTCTCAGGCATAATGTGTCTTTAAGAATAAAACAAACATTTGGTTATCAAAAAACAGTATTCATCTGATATTGGTAATTAGTTAAAACTTGCTGAACAGTAACTTAAGACAAGTATAATTTGACTGAGCCGACTAACACATAACTAAAAACAATTTATCATATTTCATAGGCTTAATTAGCACCAAGCACAGTTAGTATGTTTAATAAATATAATAGGAAAGTTGAAAAGGTGTGTTGTTTCATGCATTATACAGGGAGATTGACCTGTCCTGTATTTTGAGAGTTTCCGATTTATTACAGGGGGAAA